CCTTTTCGCTTCCTCTCTTCACCCCCTCCTCCCTCGCCCCTCCCCTTTTTCCCTTCCTCTATTCACCCCCTCCTCTCTCCCCCTCCTCCCTCCCTGCCCCCTTTCTCCCTCCCTCTCTCTTCTCCTTCCCTCCCTCCTTCCTTCCTCCCCTTCCCTCCCTTGCTTGCTTCCTTCACGTTTGTGCACAAGCTCAGCAAGCCTGATTTAAAACGTTTAACAAGAAGAGGCAGGTGGATCACCTGAAGTCAGGAGTTCAAGACCAGCCTGGCCAATACGTGAAACCCCGTCTCTACTAAAAATACAGAAAAATTAGCTGGGCACGGTGGGGCGTGCCTATAATCCCAGAATTTTGCGAGGCCAAGACAGGCGGATCACCTGAGGTCAGGAGTTCGAGACCAGCCTGGCCAACATGGAGACACTCCATCTCTACTAAAAATACAAAATTAGCTGGGCGTGGTGGTGGGCGCCTGTAACCCCAGCTCCTCAGGAGGCTGAGGCAGGAGAATCGCTTGAACCCGGGAGGCGGAGGTTGTAGTGAGTGGAGATTGCGCCACTGCACTCCAACCCGGGCGACAGAGCAAGACTGTCTTTTAAAAAATAATAAAAAATAAAAGATAATTTTTAAAAAGCCCCAATCCCAAATGCACCTTGCAATCCAATGGGAAGAAGTTTTGGGGAGAAGTTCTTCCCATTTGGGGGGTGCTCCCATTTTCCTCTCTCTTCCCTCACCCCTTATTCTCTCTCAGGGATAGGGGTTCAGTTCGGAGGTGTCCCTGAGCCACACGTCCTCGCCTCTCCCCGAAAACGGTGGCGTCCCCCTCCCTTTCCCGTTCCTTCCCTTCCTTCCTCCCACCATGAGGGAATCTCCCCTCCACTCCCACTCCCGCTAAGGCACCGTGATCCTCATTCTCACTCATATTGTCAGTGCCCGTCAGGAGACTGGGCTGTTTTTGTCTGTTTCTTGGGGGCGACAGATTCTGAGGAAAAAGGGCCAAGAGCTGGTTGTCGCCCTGAGAAAGTTTCTCCTCAGGCAACGGGTGCCAGGACTGGCGGCGCCTAGCACCTTCACCTACAACCAGAAACTAGCCGGCTACCTTCAGGAGCAAGGAGGACCTAAAGGCGAGGTGCAAAACCAGCTGGCGCAGCGACTCCGCAAGCCTCTCACACCTCAACCCAGGTTTCCCGCCACCAAGAAAAGGCACGAGGACGTTCTGCGCGCTAGCTCCACCCCCGGGAGGCGCGCTCGCGGAGTCTGAGGCGCATGCGCAACTGGAAACAGCGTCTGCGTTTCTGCGGCTGAGGTAATTCCGCCATCTTTCACCCGAACGTCCCGGGAAAACTACAAATCCCAGAATCCTCTTTGGTGTCACATATTTTTAGGCGGCGGCCGCAGCGCCTGATTGTTCTTGAAGAACATCTTACTAACTTTTCTCTGTTTCAGACTGCCTTTTCCTCCCTCTTTCCGTTCCCTGATTCCTCCTCTTCCTGCTGGTCTCCTTCACGCCCTCACTTTAGGATTTTGAGACTTTCCGGGACCCCACTGTCACCCCTGTCACCCGCTCCTCGGCCCAGCACTCCGCTGGCAGGAAGACCAGGCTGCGAATCTCCCCGGGAAAACGGCGTAGATTCGCTTCTTCCTCATTGGCCGAAGCGGGGGGGCCCAACGCGGAGGACCGAACCCCCGTCCCCGCCCACACTCTCTGGTATATAAGTCGGCGCGGCGCCGCGACGGGCGTTTGGGGAGGCCCGTGAGCTGACGGGCCAGTGAGCGTTCGCCGGGAATGGGCGGAGGCGTTGGGGTCCGGGCCGTGGGTGTGGAGGCGGAGAGGAAGGCGTGGTGTGGCGTCTCCAGGTGATTGCGATTGGGGGAAGGCAGAGGAACCAGAGAACGACTCAGCCGTTTCGGGGGAAGAGGAAGTTGGACAACACCGGCTGTTTTAGTGCTTTTTCTTTTTCCCCAATTCAGCAGAGAATATTTTCGAGGGGGGTGAGTTATAATGACCTATCGCGTTTTACTGAGCCCAGTTCCACTCCTGCCCTTCCTCGGCTTTGTAGGGTCTCTCTGCTCCTTCGGAAGCGCTTCTAAGAAGATGGGCAGAGGGGGGAGGTGTGCTACCAACAGCTCATGAATAATTCATGAGCACCGCCCTTCGTCGGGAAGCCCTGCCCCTCCGGATCGCGCTGACGCACGCTGCGTTTACCAAACTTAAGGAAGCGACGTCACAGGCCCTACCCCTAAGACGGGAGGCGGGGCGCCACCTCCAGCACGTGCTGCCTGTACCCGCGCAAGCCCAAAAGGGTGTGCGCAGGCGCTGCCCACTAGGGGGAGGAAGGAGGCGGGGTGGGGAGGTTGTTGGATTTAGAGCCGGGTGGAGACCGCTGAGACTCATTCCTCAGGAACAAGGGTCGGGTGTCAAGGAGACCTTTTCACACCAGGTCCCGTCCCCGCCTACGGTGGGTGGGATCGCGCGGCAGAGACAAAGGAGATCAGTAGGGCCGGACCTAGCTGCGCAGGGAAGTAGGGTGTCAGTTTGGGGTGGTGGGCTTTTGCGGGGGCTGTGTGGGGGGTTATATTTAAACTCCCAGAGCCGTTAAGTTGGTTCGTACTCCGATGCGCGCGCAACCAGGGTGGTGGCGGAGTGCGCATGCGTGATTCCGGGGCGAAGGGAACGCGCGCTTGCCGTGCGCGCTCGCGGCGGGGTGGTAGTGGCGGAGGAGAAAGGGGTCGGCGCACGCGCGGTTGAGTGCTCGAGTAGTTCGGGTCTCGCGGGCATCTTGTTTTGGTCTCGCGGGCTAGTGGGGCGCACTTCGCAGGGAGGCGCTTGGGCGCGAGACTAGGCGAGAAGAGCAGAGCTGCGCGCGCACTCGGGAAAGGGGGGGAAGGGAGCAGGGTCCAGGCAGGGGGGGTTAAGCCCCCTGATCCCCCTCGTTACCCCGACTGGGACGGAATAAGGGGAGGAAATGATCGAGATGGCGGCGGAGAAGGAGCCGTTTCTGGTGCCGGCCCCGCCGCCGCCGCTCAAAGATGAGTCGGGCGGAGGGGGCGGCCCCACTGTGCCACCGCACCAAGAGGCCGCCTCTGGGGAGCTCT